GCGCACGGCGCCGTCGAGCTGTCGGTCGTCGATCGGTTGTCGGTCGTCGTCGTCGATTAGTCGTCGATCGTCGTCGTCGTGAGCCAAAACATCGCGACGGGGGGCATTTCGTCATTTGCGGCGTCCGGCGGCCCTTACCGGGCTTCGGGGCCGTCAGACAACGCCTCGGGACGAAGACTTGGTTCCCGGGGAAGGGGTCCAGATCTTTGGGGGTTGACGTGGTGGAAAATCCACGCCGTCGATGTCGATCTTCTGTGGTCGATCGGTCGTCGATCGTCGTCGTCGTCGTCGTCGTCGTCAGTCGTCGTCGTCGTCGTCGTCGTCGTCGTCGTCCCTTGAGATCTTGGTGTCGCAATGTTTTCGGACTGGGCGTTCTCGCTTTCGTTTTAGGCCTGGGGCCCGCACAGGTCGGCGGGGCTCCAAAAGGGACGCAGCAGGATGGGGTCCAGGGTTGAGTCGGGCGTGTCCCTCAACAGGAGGAGTATTGAAAAATAGTGAAAGAAAAGTCTGGGGACGATCTTTTTCATATTGTTGATCATGTATGAATATTTATCGGCTATGTTTACATTTCGTCCCAAATCCACCCGTAAGACCGTAAGAGGACACGCCCGACCTTAGTCTAGGGCTCCGAGTGTGATTCGTTCTGATGTTGCAGTTTTTCCGCTACGTCCGATCTCAGGGTTTCGGAGGGTTGCTGAAGGTGCCCCTGGGCCAAGGTGCCCCCAGCTCTTCGCTCCATGTTGGATCCCCTGGGGCCCCCTGGTCCTCGTGAGGGGCCCTCCAGAGGCTGTGGGGACCTTGGAAATCTTCTGGGCAGGTTGGGCCAGGGGCACTTCTAGCAACACCTGATCGTCGATCGTCGTTGTGGATCGTCGGTCGTCGCCGTCGTCGGCCGTTGATCGATCGTCGTTGTCGACGTCGTCGTCGTCGTCGTCCGTTGGTCGGTTGTCATCGATCGACGTCGTCGGTCGTTTGTCGTTGGTCGACGTGGATCGACGTCATCGCCGTCGTCGGTCTTCGTCTCGGATTGTCGTCGTCGATCGCCGTCGTCGATTGTTGGTCGATCGTCTTCGTTCGCCGCTGTCGGTCCTCGTCAATGCTTTTTTTCAACCATCTTGTGGTATTGAGTCCTCGTTTTGACTCTGGAGCGCCCCGCGTCCACTCCCGTCCTCTTCCCTCTCCTCCATCTTGCCTCTGCCTTGGGACACCTCTGCCACGCGTCCCAATTCCCGTGGGAGCTCCACAGAAAGAAGGTCGACACGAACCAATCCGCATGCAGTCGCGGGCTCATTTCGTTCGCCCCTGCCACAGCTTTCAAGCCCCATGGGGGTTCCCCAGAAGGCCGAAATGGAACAGTTCGCATGCAGTCGTGGGCCCCATGGGGGTCCGAAATGGAACAGTTCGCATGCAGTCGTGGGTTCATTTCGCTCGCCCCTGCCACGTGCATGCCCCTGCCACTGTTTTCAAGCCCCATGTAGGTTCCCCAGGAGGCCGAAATGGAGCAGTTCGCATGCAGTCGTGGGTTCGTGTCGCTCGCCCCTGCCACGCTTTTTCAGCCCCACACGAGCCCCACATAAGGCCGACACGAGTCAGTGCGCGTGAAGTCGTGTGATCATTTAGCTTGCCCCTAGCATGCTTTTTGTGCCCCCATAGGAGCCCCACAGAAGGCCGACCTGAGTCTGTGCGCATGCAGTCGTGGGCTCATGTCGCTGGCCCCTGCCACGCTTTTCAGGCCCCATTCGAGCATCACGGAAGGCCAGAATGAGGAAGTCCGCATGCAGTCGCGGGCTGAGTTCATCATTTCGCTCGCCCTGACCACGCACTGTCCCCTAACAAGTTGATCAGGCCGCATATGGAGATCCACAGAACGCCCCAATGGCAAAGTTCCTAAGCTTTCCACGCCCATTTCGATTGCCAATTGCGTCCGTGGCCCCAAAGTGGGCTCCCCCTCTTTCGGCCCACCTACATGTGGTTGGGTCCCTCGCCAGGCTAATTTTCATCGTCGCATGCTCGACCATCCCAGACGGGTCTCGGATGTCTTTTGAGGTTCTCTGGGCTTCGAGGTTCTCAGAGGTTCTCGGAGACTCCTTGGCGTCGTCGCCATCGTCGTCGTCGTCGTCCTGCGTCGTCGTCATTTTCTTTGTGCGGCGTCGTCGGCGTCGTCTACTACGCCTTGGGGGTTTCTTCGGGGCCTGCTAGCGGTAGCGGAGGTCATCTTGGGACGGAAGTCTCGAACTGTCAGTTCACGTCCCCCTCTTAGGGCCGTCTCGGGGGTCTCTTGGGCCGTATTTGAACGATCTCGGGGCCTTTTGGGCCGTGTTGGGGCGTTGGAAGCCCGCTCAAGCGAGAACGCTGCAATCTTTGAAAAACACGTTCGGGACATGACAGGGTTTGCCATCTTGGGGCCGTCTTGGGAGCTGCCGTGGAGCACAGTTTGCCCCTCCTCGGGCGCCCCAAAGCCTCAGGACAAGTCCGGCGACAAGCCATTCGAGGGGTCTGCGACGCAGCCCCCGGGAGCCCCCGGCAGCGCCCCTTGGACTCCGGGCCGTGGAGGCTTTGAAAGAGCACTGCAGTGCTCCTCACCCAGCGCCTGACGGCACCGAGCGCGCCCCGCTACTCGCAAAGTGCCTGCTCGCAAACGTCCGACAAAGACACATGTCTGCTTCGACGTATCTTATCGCATAGCCCGCCCGCGGCGGATCCAGGCCACTTTCGAGTGCTCACCTTGCGAGTAGTGGAACGCGCTTGTCTACTGGCGGCACAGTGTCGGACATCCCAGGGGCCAGGACACATGAGATTCCAGGGGAGGGGGCGGGCCGGGCGGGGCCAGGACCAGGATGCATCGTCTCAGGGCGTCTCAGGACTCCCGGGGTTGGATCCGATGTCAGCTCTGACGCGAACGCACCCAGCTCGCACCTTCCATCTCCCGTCCCCCTCCCTCCCTCCCTGCTGCGTCCCTCAGTCCTCCTCCCGCCCTCCCCTGCTCCCACATCCAGTCCCCCCCCCCTACACAACCCCCTCTCGAAGAGGAAGCCAGGAGTCACAAGACTCCGGAGGTCCGCGCGGATCTCTCGCATGGGCGTTGGCCCTCCCCCCCCCCGCGGCGGCGATCCTGGCGTGTCCCGCGCTCCAGGGTAGAGGGGATCCAGCGCCGACACAACTTTTCATGATTGTTTCGCTCATTATTTGCCGTCCTCTTCTTGTTATCGAAGACGCCTACGGCGAATCACCGCCCCATCCTGCCTTTTTGAAAGCGCCTATGTGGCCGAACGTTGAGGCCAGACCTGCCAAGCTATCGGACCATGTGTTCCCCGAATCGGTTTGGAAAGCCTTCGGGGAACACGTGGGCATCTTTCAGGTCATCTTGGCCGCCTGGAGGCCATTTTGACCCTTGCGGGCCTTCTTGGAGGACGTCTCGGAGGGCTCTTGGGCCGTCTTGGAGGCCATCTTGGCCGTCTTGGAGGCCTCTTGGGCCGTCTTGGGGGCCTCTTGGGGCCGTCTTGGGCCTCTTCGGCGATTTTGGGGGCACTTGGGTCGTCTCCGTCGGAAGGCCGAAAAAAAGTGAATGCCGCAATCCTTCAAAAGTACGGGAAATCAATGAATTTGACCTTTTCGGGCCTTCTTGGAGGCCCTCTCGGAGGTCTCTTGGGCCATCTTGGGCCAGCTTAGTGCCATCTTCGGCCGTCTTTTTGGGCCCCTGGCCCGTCCGACGCCGTCGGGCGGGCCTCTCTGAGCCGACTTGGGGCCCTCTTGGAATGCTCCAGGGCCGTCTTGGAGGCCATCTTGGGCGTCTTAAAAGCCTCCTGGGCCGTCTTGGGGGCCTCTTGGGGCCGTCTTGGGAGCCTCCTGGGCTGTTCTGGGGCCATCTTGGAGGCCTCTTGGGCGATCTTTGGGCGATCTTTTGGGGATCTTGGGCCGTATCGGGCCGTCGGAAGGCCGAAACGAAGCAAATGTCAAAACCCTTCAAACACCTAAGGTTCTCAGTGTTGTTGGTTCTTTTTGGCCTTCCTGGAGACCCTCTTGGAGGTCTCTTGGGCCGTCGTGGGCCATTGTAGTGCCATCTTCGGCCGTCTTGGTGGGCCCCTGGCCCGTCCGACGCCGTCGGAAGCCGTGGTCAGAGCTTGGCCAAGCTAATGTCCAAAAACCGGTTAAAACAAATGATGACCCCCCCCTCCCCCCCCCCCCCCGGATCCCGACTGCCATTAATTCGCATCCGAATAACTCTTTTTTATCTGCCCCCCCCCCTGGAAAGAATTCCATGGATGCCGACCGATGCCACTTGTATATACCTCGGTACCAGGGAGAATGCCGATGGGGATGTTACCGTCTTCCGATCAGAGAATGATTTTTTACATTTGGTGTTCGCTATTGGGTTCAGGAATTCAACATCGCTCCCGTGGTATAAAATCTATCAGCTGTATTCCGCCGCCGCGCGCGCGCGCTGGCGATTGGCATTTATGCATTCCGTGTCGTATATCCACATAGGGATGTTCCCGCCTTCCGATCAGAGAATTAATTTTTACATTGGGTTTTCGCCATTGGATTTTGGAGTTCAACCTCGCTCCCGTGGCATAAAACCTATCATCAGCGGCATGCCGCCGCCGCCGCGCGCGCGCACGCGCGCGCTGGCGATTGGCATTTGTGCATAAAGCGTCGCATATCCACACGAGGATTTTCCCATCTTCCGATCAGAGAATGAATTTTTACATTTTGGGTTTTCGCAACTGGGTTTTAGACATTATCGGACCATGTGTTCCCCGAGTCGGTTTGGAAATCCTTCGGGGAACATAGGCAGAATGAATGAGCGAGTGAGGGGAGGGAGGCTCAGACAGAAGAGGAAGAGGAAGCAGAGGATGAGCAGAAGGAAGATACCTTTTGGGGGGTCGTGGTGGAAATCCTTCGGGGAACACATAGAGGAGGAGCGAGGAGGAGGAGGAGGAGGAGGAGGAGGAGGAGGAGGAGGAGGAGGGGAGGGGGAGGATGATAGGAGGAGCAGGAAA